GAGTTTGAAGGAGCTCACAACTCCTTGAAAGCGCAGCTAGAGAGTCAATATATTAAAGCGCAAAAGATCGAAGATGACATGGACCACATTTGGATGGCCGTGGAGAAGTTTCAAGTGGCCTGGCACCAGTCTGACCAGGTTGCTAAGGAGCTCGAAGCCGCCAAGAAGCGCCTCGATGAGCAGGAGAAGAAGCAGAAGGAGCTCTGCCAGGCAGTGGCAAGTGTAAGCTTTGATTCATGGGATTATTGTTGCGTCTCACTGAGAGTGCGTGATCCGATTTGTTTAAGGGACAATGCACATCAACCCCTAGGCCAAGCGGCTATTGGGCAACCTTCGCACGCAGCTGAATGCCCTCGACGAGCTGCGTGCGGAGCTGACCGCCATGAAAGCGACAGGCAATCATGAGGGCGTGCTGCCGATTGAGCCGATGACCAAGGACAAGTTTGAAGCTTGGCAAAGTCATTGGATGGAATTGGTGTGCTGCCTATGAGGAATCGACATTCTTTACGAGAGTTTCTATCCCCACCCAGGGTTCTCTTTTTTGGAGAACAGATGCTCCACCTCCTGTTCCGAAGCAAAGCAACTGTCTGATCCCGGAAACCTTGTGAAGCCTATGCGGGCGCTCCACCACGATCGTGGCTGGCTCCGCGGGTCTGCCATTCTCTGTTGGTGGCTCCTGCGGAGCTGTCAGACTTTTCATTCACCGTCAGCTGGATGGCGACTGGGGGCTGGGGGTTGTGCGACAAAGCACTTGTTCTCAGACGCATATGGTGGCCACCGCCTGGAAACCATCTCATTTTCATCGGTATTTACAGGAGATGTCGTTTCTTTCTAGAGGTGGAATTTGCCAATCGTGTGGAATTCGATCACAAGAAGGAAGAAGAGGCAGAAGAACCTTTGATGTTTGCGATACCACAGACCTAAGTATGGACTTAGCGAATCACAAGTTCTTCTCCCGAACCATCATCCAATGTTAAGCATGTTTGATGTCTTCCTGTTCCCTGACTCCAACTGACCTGCGCACCTCCCTGTTCTTCAGGAAGTGATTCGACCAGGGAGCAGCTTCTCTCAGGCCAGGCAAAACCAGTCCGATGGCGGACCGCATCGGGACCGCGTTGGGAGGATCCGCTACCATCCGTAGCGGCTTTTCGACCAATGCGGAGTTCGGTTGAGTAAGAATCAGCCCATTTTTGCTGCTGTTAAATAATGAGTCGTGTTGGCTCCCAGCAACCAACTGGTTTGTTCAGCGCATCGAACATTCGTGGTTCTCAGCACTTGGAACAGAATGCACCCCAGATTGCTTAGACAGCTATGCACTTCTTTGGACTGAAGACTCACCACAGTCTCACCACAGATCCATCTGAGGTGAGGCAGCCTGGACTGGGCCAGTTGCCGGAAAGAACCTCGGCCGGAGAGAACGGGCTCAGAATGCGTGGACCTGCTGAAAGGTTGGGTGGTGCTGTATGGTCAAAGCATACCCATGTGGCCGCAATCCATGCACCTTTCTCGGGGGAGGCAGGTGCTTTTCCGTCGAAGCTACTCCGAAGGCTTGTTTCCCCAAGAAGACGTGATTTGGTTCTTCCCAAAAATCAGACTCAAACCACCATCAATGTTTCTCTGTTTCTCTAGATCCACCTGATTCCGGCTTTCCACACCCGCCCAAGTAGACAGCCTAGGACAGCTCCCTCGAGACTCTTCTCAACGACTTCCAGAGAAGCCGCTGGGATCAGAGCGGCCCGTTCCACAGCCTGATCCGCAACCAGCTCCAGAGCCCGCTCCGCAGCCTGCTCCGGAACCAGCTCCAGATCCGCCAGCTCCGCTAGCTCCCCAAGCAGCTTCAAGTGACTTGCCAGTGATCAGAGTAGGTCGAGACCAGGTTTGGGAGCCCATGTGGACGCTGAGGAATTGTATTGGGCTCAGAAAAGCTGCTTTGAACTGGACTGGTCTGAAGTCTTAACATCATAACATCCGGCCAAGCATGTGGTTTCCACCAGGGAGTTTCTGGGTCATTCCCTCTTCCCTCTTCCCTTTTCGCTGCGATGCAGGCGATGTAGCTGATTTTTGGTCCCAACTGTCTAGGCTGGTTTGATGTTTTTCTGGATGTCCCACATCTCTATGACAAACCCAACTATACGACACCTTTACTTTCACGACATTGATTGCAGATATTCAGTGATCACATATCCGCAGGTTTCATTTTAACATTTTCGCCAAAAACTTTCTTTCGGAAGAAACATGACACCACGTCGAAGCTCCTACCAGCAACTTTTGGGTCAAGTATCTCCAACAAAGGGTAATTTCGATTTTCCTGCAGTAGCCGGTAGCCCCACTGGCACCCCTCGCTCTCACACAACCTGAAGAGGCAGTTTCCAGTCCTGGTCGCCGGTCGCTCGACGACGCTTTTGGCCCAGAGAGTTCTTCCAGCCACGTCCCGAAGCACCCTCGCCTTCCCCCGGCGCCGGCCCGCCCAGCACCTGCGCTCGACCGCGGCTCGAGCTGCGAGCACCCCAGGTGGCGCACAGGTGTTCAGCAGGCCCCCGCCGCCGGAGGACGGGAGGATGGGGGAGAAGTTGGAGGTGGGAGGTGGTTGGCCTTGGTGAGAGCGGACAAAAAAGGGGGTAGGTTGAAGTTACAGCTGTTGGATTTCAACATTCCAAAATACATACACATTATCCCTAGACTTCCAAGACCATTCAAAGAATGGTTGACCAGGTTTTTGTGGTGTGTAAAATCCTTAGTTGATTCGGGATTCAGCCTATATTAAATTAATGGTTGTTGGAAGCCTAGGGTTATGTATTGTAACATTGATTAAGATTGTATAACTCTGTGTGCCTGACCGGGTTGGAGGTTCACCGACAAGGCTTTTTCGATGCCACAAACACGGCGTGACCGTACCGTGTGTCGCACCACTGGCCGCATCCGAGTCGTATACGCGATGCGTCAGCAGCCTCTGTGGTTATGCCTCCCAAGCCGCGTCAAGCCGACCTCCGCGTGAAAACACGGACCGTGAAAACCCGAGTGGCCGAGCGTTCGGAGCTCTCCGCGCGACGACCAGGACCCGACGTCCCGGAGGCTGACGGAGGAGGTGGAGCTTGATCTGCTCAAGGCACAGGACGAGCGATTGAGCGTGGAGAAGCGCAGCACGTTGCTGAAGAAGGTGCAACTGAAGCGGCGTGGCGCATTTGGCAGCATTTTTCTGTTTTTTTTTGTAGCAATTCTATACATGTGTTTCTCAGTCTGGGCTACGGTGTCCACCTTCTCGGAACTCCTTAGTAGCAGATATCTCTACATGTGTCTACCAGCAATTCTTGATCTTTGTCTCATTTGTCTCACAGTCTGGGCCAGCGTCCGCCTTCTGGGAACAATCCTCTCCAATGGTCATGATTTGAGATGCAGTTGTACGGCGCCTCAACTGTTTGGGGTCTACAGTGGTGTAATCTTTTTCTTTTTTCAACATGCGGTGTATGAGCGGCTACATATTTATCTGTTCAAGCATAACAGAACTCTTCCCTACTTCTGAACATCCTTAACACTTTCCTATTAGAATGTGCGGTTGGATGCTGCTGTGTACACCGTGGCCCACGAATTAGCATGGTGTCAGATCCAACGATCTGGTAACGCGAGCCTCAAAAATGGTAGACGTCTAAGCTTGTGCAATGCCAACTGGTGTGCAATGCTGGGACAGAACTCCCTGTAGCGTACTGAGACGCATAGGACATGGCTGCTACCTTGTCGGTGCCAAGGAAAGAATGGTTGGAATTAGCCCGACACTATGGGTTCAGGGCGAGAGGCTTACAACCAACCACCTTTGTGCGCGGGTCGAGCATGACAGCCCGGTTGAAGCAGCATCCTTGCTCCAGTAGGTATCCACGCCCATACGACCAAAAAATACCAAGCAAAGCCAAGAGCCGTCCATCTCCGAGTCGCCAGTAGCGTGCCTCGACATCGAACCAACACTGCACCTAATGGTTTCGGATGAACAGGCGGCCGCTGCCCATCCCTGTCACCGCAACGGTCAAGTATGACGAGCAAGCAGAAGCAAGCTAGAGGTCAACTCAGCCATCACGGCCGCGTCCACCCACGAGACCGCCCGCCTCCCGGGTCCCCGGGCCCTCCAAAGCTTCCCCGCGCCACGCCCGGGGAAGCATGGCTGTCGTCACCGTGGCACCGTGGCACCACGTTGAGGTTCGTGGTCTGTCTTCGCCCCGGAACATGTTGTTGGGGCCCTTGGCTCATCCTGTTCCCACGGTGTCCACTTATTTTTTTGGGGTCTATCTCAGGTGTTGCCGGAAATCCTTCTTTCACAGATTCTTTTGAATGGGAAACACCCACAGGAAACCCATAGATTTGAGTGAAAACCATGGGTTCCTGTAGATGTTCCCGACAACCAATCTATTGATTCTTGGCCTCTGAGACCGGAGTTGTGACTGACTGTTTGAGGCTGCATCCCGATAAGGGTGGGACGGACGATGCCCAGAGGCTTGGCAGAGCAGCGGGGAGGACGGAACAAGTTTTCCCCCCCTAAGAATCCTTGAGCCCGACACCGAAACGCAGGGGTCGGACCCTCTCCACCGAAACGCAGGGGTCCGGGGCCGAAGCAAACCCTATCTGTTGGTTCGGGCCCGGATGCTTAGGGCCAAACCGTTTGGGTGAGGGTCCTTCTGAAAAGTCCTCGCACCTCGAGCGGTTTTGATGCTGCGTCCCGAGCGCCCACCGGAGGCGGTCTGGTGTTCAGTACTCGGTCGTGCCGGGTTTCTCTCGGTATACCAATGAACAAGAGGATTCAATCACTGAAGGAGGGGAGAACGATTGAATTTGTGACGCAGTTTTGTATGCGAATCACAGGACAAAAACCACCAGTTACTCGGTCAATTCACTGAGGATTGGCCCAACAAAGATGCCATGTGGTTGAAAGAGGGCCAACCATGGTGAAATCTTGAGACGAAGCGACCCGATGCCCTGCAGGTGATGGGCTTCCCTCCCAGCAAACCAGTGAGTGAAGCCATGGTGAAACTGGGATTTCTGACAAACCGCCCTAGACACTCTCCATGTGTGGAATAGTGATCCTGCAGATGAACATGGACCCTGGAATCCATCCGGTTGTAAAGGGAAGAATCATCTCCCAGGAGTTTTTCAAAAGAAGGGTCCATGTGAAGTCTCGTCTGCAGCGGAGCACATACATTCACCGCTATTGACGACCCTCCCTTTGGGGTGTCTATCAATAGCCCCTTAACCTTAGAGGTGAGGAACGGACTTGTCCCCCAAACCCGACGAACGGGTGGACCGGTCGCGAGTCGGTCCTGGTTTCTGAGGCACCAAGTTGGACCGGTCGCGAGTCGAGTCCACGCACGGACGCCCAAGGATTTGGCTCACCGATTGGCTACGAGAGCATTTGGACTGGTACTTTGAGCCGTAGCTGGGTTTGGTGGATGACTCGTTCTTCTTTTTTCCTCTTTTCCCGAACTGGGTCAATCT